CGTAAAGAACAACAAACAACAGAACTGCTTACCCCTAAATAACCTATAACCTATTGAAACCCCAACAACAGTAACTTACTCGTACACTAACCTATACCCTATCTCTTCCTATCTACCTCCGCCTCCGTTTTGGGGCAGAGGGGCCACTGGATGCAGCAGCCCCGCGCCTGGTGCGGGTGGAGCGGGTGGCTGCAGAGGGCTGGGTGTTGTGCTGCTCCTCTGCAGCTCCTGCACCAGGCTCAGCACCACGCTGGTGGCTTCTCGTCCTGGTGTCCTGGACGCTGGTGCTCGGGGGGGCTGCAGCGGCCGCTCTCAGGCGCTCCATGGCGCTTTCTGCCATCCTCTGGATCTTGTTGAGGTTGGGGTAATCCCGTTGGAAGTAGGGATGGTAGAAGAAGAGCAGCTACAAATGCAAAGGAGAGGAGTCAGTTGGCATCGGTGCAAGGAGGAGAGAGACAGAGAGCCGGTAACTCGGCATCTGCATCGGAAAAGGCAAACGCGGGTGTTCCAAAGGACTTTGTGGGGCATTTTAAACCTCAGCAGTTTTGGCTGAATGCAATGGTAGGGTAGAGTTTTGGTCAGTCAGAACCACCCTTGTGTTTCCAGCTGCTGGGAGCAGAGAAGTGTAGGGGCTTCAAAAGGCTAAAATCCAATGGAGAAACCCAAACAGGTCTCATTTAGAGCACCTGAGTGTGGCATGGGCCTGTTGGGAATAATGGTGGTGCTGCCGTGTATCTTGTCAGCACTGAGCAGCTGCCACAAGGTGATTGAGGGTTCTTTTGTGTGTGGAGGAACCAACGTACCTGTCCCAGAGCAGGCCCTGCTGCTGCCACTGCCCGCAGCTCCCTGATGGGGATTTCCACAGCCATATCCTCCTCCATCCTGCAGAAGCCGTGGAGGTGGAGGCGGACGAAGAATTCATTCAGGCTCTCAGCCTGGAGGGCCAGACGTGCGGTCCTCTTGCTGAGAACCTCATCTTCGAAGAGGTTATCTGCGATAACCACGCAGCTCCCGTTGTCTCCCCACCAGATGGAGTGGAACTGGAAGCTGGAGACGAGGTTCCACAGGAAGATGAGGAAGGAGTCGGGTGCGGAGGTCTCTGAAACACAAAATTGCATGGTCAGGGCCCAGGGTTCATCAGGCAAACCCTGAAGGAGTTTTCTTTTGTGGGAGGTGCGGTGGCAGCAGCCCAAGGTGCTCCCGTGTCACCTCTTTGGGTCATGGCCCAAGCTGAGGATGCCTCCCCTGAAGAGGTCTCCAAAACTGCTTGGTTCCACCCCTTGTCACCAAGTGTCCCCCAAGCAGCCAGGCTGGGTCCTGCTGCTCAGCAGACTGAAGGGGTGTGGCCCCAGCAGCCCCTCAAGTTCTCCAGCATCACTGTGACATCAGGGTTCCATGAGGGTTCCATGGGCGGTGCCCATCTCCTGGCAACAGCAAGGGGCAGCAGCAGAAGTTGCTAGAAAGCCGCGTTGTCTTCTCCAGGAGGGAGCTGTTTAGAGCTGAGAAGTGACCCCAAGTGTATTTGCCTTTGGCCTGTGCTGCTGGGGCCGTGCTGCCTCCCATTGCCCCTGGGAACTGGTCCCCAAGGTGGGATGGGGAAGGCTGCAGCGTTGGGCATCAGAGTGCCCAGACCTGAAGGTTCTCCCTTGGCCACCTTCCCCCCATGCAGAAATGCCCCAGGCCTCTTGTGTGGAGTAACCCCACTGTGATTGCAGCAGCCTGGGTGTGGAGACAGTGACTGTGAGACTGCAGAGACAGCACACGGCAGCTTTTATTGATGAGAAATGATGCCATTTATATCAGAAATGTTCATTCAGAGCAGCTCCCAGTGTGTGAGGAGGCCTCCAAGGGTGCCAGAGAGGGATCCTTCATCAGGGACTGCAGCGATAGGACAAGGAGTGATGGGTTTGCACTGGAACAGCAGCAGTTCAGTTGGGGAATGAGGCAGATTCTTCCCTGTGAGGGTGCTGAGGCGCTGGCACAGGGTGCCCAGGGAAGTGGTAAATGCTGCATCCCTGGCAGTGTTCAAGTCCCGGTGGGGCAGAGCCTTGGGAGCCATGGTCTGGTGTGAAGTGTCATTGCCCATGGCAGGGAGCTTGGAGCTAGAAGCTCTTGAAATCCTTTCCAACCCTAACTATCCTACAACTAAACTAAACTAAACTACAACTATCAAATAATTCTATGATTCTAAGAAAAGAATATCATAAAGAACAACAAACAACAGAACTGCTTACCCCTAAATAACCTATAACCTATTGAAACCCCAACAACAGTAACTTACTCGTACACTAACCTATAACCTATCTCTTCCTATCTACCTCCGCCTCCGTTTTGGGGCAGAGGGGCCACTGGGTGCAGCAGCCCCGCGCCTGGTGCGGGTGGAGCGGGTGGCTGCAGAGGGCTGGGTGTTGTGCTGCTCCTCTGCAGCTCCTGCACCAGGCTCAGCACCACGCTGGTGGCTTCTCGTCCTGGTGTCCTGGACGCTGGTGCTCAGGGGGGCTGCAGCGGCCGCTCTCAGGCGCTCCATGGCGCTTTCTGCCATCCTCTGGATCTTGTTGAGGTTGGGGTAATCCCGTTGGAAATATGGATGGTAGAAGAAGAGCAGCTACAAATGCAAAGGAGAGGAGTCAGTTGGCATCGGTGCAAGGAGGAGAGAGACAGAGAGCCGGTAACTCGCCATCTGCATCGGAAAAGGCAAATGTGGGTGTTCAAAAGGACTTTGTGGGGCATTTTAAACCTCAGCAGTTTTGGCTGAATGCAATGGTAGGGTAGAGTTTTGGTCAGTCATAACCACCCTTGTGTTTCCAGCTGCTGGGAGCAGAGAAGTGTAGGGGCTTCAAAAGGCTAAAATCCAATGGAGAAACTCAAACAGGTCTCATTTAGAGCACCTGAGTGTGACATGGGCCTGTTGGCAATAATGGTGGTGCTGCCGTGTATCTTGTCAGCACTGAGCAGCTGCCACAAGGTGATTGAGGGTTCTTTTGTGTGTGGAGGAACCAACGTACCTGTCCCAGAGCAGGCCCTGCTGCTGCCACTGCCCGCAGCTCCCTGATGGGGATTTCCACAGCCATATCCTCCTCCATCCTGCAGAAGCCGTGGAGGTGGAGGCGGACAAAGAATTCATTCAGGCTCTCAGCCTGGAGGGCCAGACGTGCGGTCCTCTTGCTGAGAACCTCATCTTCGAAGAGGTTATCTGCGATAACCACGCAGCTCCCGTTGTCTCCCCACCAGATGGAATGGAACTGGAAGCTGGAGACGAGGTTCCATAGGAAGACGAGGAAGGAGTCGGGTGCGGAGGTCTCTGAAACACAAAACTGCACAGTCAGGGCCCAGGGTTCATCAGGCAAACCCTGAAGGAGTTTTCTTTTGTGGGAGGTGCGGTGGCAGCAGCCCAAGGTGCTCCCGTGTCACCTCTTTGGGTCATGGCCCAAGCTGAGGATGCCTTCCTGAAGAGGTCTCCAAAACTGCCTGGTTCCACCCCTTGTCACCAAGTGTCCCCCAAGCTGCCAGGCTGGGTCCTGCTGCTCAGCAGACTGAAGGGGTGTGGCCCCAGCAGCCCCTCAAGTTCTCCAGCATCACTGTGACATCAGGGTTCCATGAGGGTTCCATGGGCGGTGCCCATCTCCTGGCAACAGCAAGGGGCAGCAGCAGAAGTTGCTAGAAAGCCCTCTCCAGGAGGGAGCTGTTTAGAGCTGAGAAGTGACCCCAACTGTATTTGCCTTTGGCCTGTGCTGCTGGGGCCGTGCTGCCTCCCATTGCCCCTGGGAACTGGTCCCCAAGGCAGGGATGGGGAAGGCTGCAGCGTTGGGCATCAGAGTGCCCAGACCTGAAGGTTCTCCCTTGGGCACCTTCCCCCCATGCAGAAATGCCCCAGGCCTCTTGTGTGGAGTAACCCCGCTGTGATTGCAGCAGCGCTGCTGCTGTCACAGCTGTGCATGTGCTGGGTGATGCTCTCAGCTTTCAGCAGGGCTCCGTGCTGCTCTGCAGGGTGAAGTACAAGTGAAACACCACCTGCACTGGTCCTGCATGTGAAATAAAGTGGTGCTCTGCACTCCTGTGCCTTTTTGGGATGGGTTCCTCTGCTTTTCTTTGAGCCAGAACCGTTAGACCCAAGCCAGGACACTCAGTGATGTTCTCTCAGCCTTTTGAAAGCTGTCACCCCACTCCTGAGTTGAAGGACCATGGCTGCAGGAACAGTTGTGTCAGCTGCAGGTTCTGAAGTCCATGGAGCCTGACCTTAGAGCAGCTCCAGTGCCCAAAGGGGCTGCAGGAAACCTGGAGAGGGGCTTGGGACAAGGGATGTAGGGACAGGGCAAGGGGAATGGCTTGAACCTGCCCGAGGGGAGACTGAGCTGAGCTCTTAGGCAGAAGCTCTTCCCTGTGAGGGTGCTGAGGCGCTGGCACAGGGTGCCCAGAGAAGCTGTGGCTGCCCCATCCCTGGCAGTGCTCAAGGCCAGGTTGGACACAGGGGCTTGGAGCAAGCTGCTCCAGTGGAAGGGGTCCCTTGGCAGGGGTTGAAGTTGGAGGAGCTTTGAGACAGCGACTGTGAGACTGCAGAGACAGCACACGGCAGCTTTTATTGACGAGAAATGATGCCATTTACATCAGAAATGTTCATTCAGAGCAGCTCCCATTGTGTGAGGGGGCCTCCAAGGGTGCCAGAGAGGGATCCTTCATCAGGGAGTGCAGCGACAGGACAAGGGGTGATGGGTTTGCATTAGAACAGAGCTCCGTTGAGAAATGAGGCAGACTCCCCCCGTGGCAGGGGTTGGAGCTGGAGGAGCTTTGATGCCACTTCCAACACAAACCAGACTGGGATTCTATGAATAAAGTGTGGAAGACCAGAACCAACCTCCCCACCGAGAGGAAAAGGAGAACACAGCCCAACCTCCCTGAGGCAAGGGCTGCCCTACCATGAACAGCACCCTCGCCTCAGGGCGCCCTGCCTCAAGATGGCGCCCAGCGCCTCAACTCCGCACCGCGCAGGCGCCGAGGCTTCAAGGCCGTCGTGACGCCGCCGTCGCCGCGACTATCGGTCTCTGGCTCGGCTGAGGCCGTCTCAGCGAGGCGGTACCCGGGCGGTTGGAGCTGCAGCCTCTTCTCATGGTGCTTTCGCCCGTTCAGGCTGGAAGATGAGGCTGCTGACGGCCGGCCTCTTGCTGGTGGCACCTCTGTGCGCCGGTTTCTACCTGCCCGGCTTGGCGCCCGTCAGCTTCTGCGAGGAGGGCGAGGAGAGCGAGGGCTGCAAGGTGAGAGCCCGCACGGGAGGGCCCGGCATGGGCAGTCCCTCTCCTCGCCGAGGAAGTTCCATAGAGGTGGAAGCGGGGCTTCAACGGGCAAGGAGGGCATCGCCGGGAACCCCTCGTCCCACTACAGATCCACGGCGTTCCCCTTTAGGCGACAGCCTTTGCTCCGGGAAGCCAGGCACCCCCAGTTCCTCTTCCCTCGGTGCACCGGCTACTTTTTTAGGGAGAAAACGTCCCGTTTTCGAGCTGAACTGAACGGTTAGCGCCAGGAGAGCCTTTCACCGGTGCTTCGTTCCTTATTCCGCCGAGGGAGGGCGGCTCTCGCAGGGCCCGGCGGTAGCGGCCTGTCGGCAGCCTGCGGTGACTCCCCCATGGGATAGTGAGCACTGAAACGTGTCACAGCTCTTGCTAGCTTTAGTGTCTTACCCACATTTGTCATTGCAAGCCTGTATTTTCATACTGTTTTCTTCTCCTGCCCTTCCCTGTTTCAGTCGCTGATTGAGCTCTTTGTGAACAGACTGGACTCGGTTGAATCGGTTCTGCCGTACGAGTATGATGCGTAAGTACATTGCAACAGGCTTCCAGAAGTGTTTGCAAAGCCTGGTTTCTGTTCTTGGTGCGGTGATGCAACTCCTGGTACAGTAAACATGTTCCCTGTAAGCAGTGTTTTGGATGGAGGGATGGAAGAGTAAAGCCAGTGGCAGGAATGAAATACAAGAGGGTGGGAAGGATGAAGCTACAACTGTACCTCCTGACTATCCATCTGCTGCTGTTGTTAAAGGCTGCTGGGTTTCTGAAGGGTGCCTTGTTTTGAGCTGACTTCCAGAGTTAGTGTGTTGGCTGTTTGATACGTTTGAAGGTTCTTCCTAGTAGCCAAGTCTGGGAAGACAACTTTGTGTTCCTTGTTTCTGGCAGCAGAAAGAAATTGGAAGTAAAGTTGTTATTATTTTGGCTTTTTCCACCAAAGTTTTCTATCTAATTCTTGGACGGTTTTGATTCTTGTCTGTCCAAAATACTGCATGCTTTTTTGTAGGTGTTTTTAGGCCTACAAAGCAATGACACACAGTATGATTTGCAGTATTGCCCGTGGGTGTACAGGAAGAAGAAACTTGCAAGTGGTGTAGGTCTGATGCTGTGCAGTGCAACAGTAGCAGTAAGACTAGCTCAATAAGCCCACAGTCTCTCTGTCTACAGTAGATGTGAGGGAAGCCAATGAATTTAGCAACATTTGTTGAGACAGAGTACATTTTTCATCAAAAAGATGGGATTTTTCTCCCCTGAACTCCATTATAACCTATTGCTACCTGTGTTTAAATAATGAAGATCCCAAATGGTTTCATTCTCTCCCGTATTCAGCTGGTTCAGACTGTATGCAGTTGAAAAGAATTGGTATGTGGTAGTGTGGCCCATTAATATTAAAAGCACCATTCTTCCTTTGAACCATGTTTCATGTTAAATACTACTTGTAAATACTCCTCGAAGAAAGGAGTGTAGTAGTTTTTCCAAAACCTTTTTGCAAGAGAAATGAACATTCTGTAGCATAGTCTCCTTTTTCCTAATATGAAACATTCTCTTGTTTAATGCCATTTGAAAAGGATGCTTGGACTAAGCATCATGCATTCTTCTTAAAGATACTTCAGCTGTGATATATTTTGGTTGAAATTGATGTATTGCATAGAAATTTTTGTGTAATATACGCCAAATTTCTTTGCAAAGGCAAAAGCTACCTCTCCAAAAGAAGCATGAAAAATGCTGTTAAAGACATAACTTAATAAATGGTTTTAGACTGATATGTACAGTTATGTATCAGTTAAAAATTAAAGGTAACCTTTTCCAATTTTTTTTCCAGTTTTGACTTCTGTCAAGATACAGAAGAGAAAAGACCATCGGAAAATCTTGGACAAGTGCTTTTTGGGGAAAGAATAGCATCATCTCCGTATAAGGTTATTTTATCCCTTGAAGTTGATCCAGTTTCAGTTTGATCGCTGTCACTCTGATGGCTGTAATCCATAGACATAGCTGGAGGTTTGATGATTGTGTGATGATTTATTTAAGCATCAGCTTTATAGTGTTTATGTAATCAAAGCCTCTCCCACTTTCCACCCCCGAAGGCATCTTAGGGTGGCTAATGAAAGTTAGGAATCTGAGCCAATTATTGCTTTTCTTTCCTGTTGCTCTGTGGAAGAGAAGTTCATAAACTGTTAACTTAAGCAGTTCTTTGGCAGCTGCGTGTATGGTGTGTTAGATGATCTGAAATCAGGAGGTTTTCAGATATAATATTGGAGGCTGTAGGCTGGAGTTTTGGGAATGCTTTCATATATTCGATTGTACTATTGGGCAACTTACAGAGTGGGATGAAGAAGTCAAGTTAGAGCTTGTTTCCAACTTGTCCCTGCTGTACACACTTAAAAACTGTTGTGTAAAACCAAATTTGTCATTGTTGATGCATATCACTTGAAGCCCATTTGCAATAAATCTATGGATGTATTTTGTAGATTAGGTATGTAGTATTTTTCTGCCTCATGCCCTGTGTTAGCAATGACCTAATTTAGCATCTCTGAAAAGCCTTACAATTAACTTGGGAAAATTATTAGCAGTAAAGTGTGGTCAGACACTGGCTTTTAATGCTGGAAAGGCTGTATCCTGTTCAAGTACAGTTTCCAGGATGGGATTTGCTGGTGAAACTGAAAACTGGGCTGTGTTTGAGTGTGAGGGTTGCTAGATAATCCAAATCCCTGTGAGCAAAAAAGGCAGCACAGTTGGAGTCTACTCTTGTTCAGTCATTAGGGACCTAGCAAAATCTTTTTATAGGACTGTTATGGAGGTGATGCCTCCTCCCTTGTGTAAACTGCTCCTACAAGGGTGTTTTTGTTTGAGCTACTGTAATTTTATGTTTAATGACTGCTGGCCACAAGAAGCTTTTAAATACGAAGCATGATGGGTTATTTGGGCTGGATACCCATTGAATAGATTAAGCATTATAACAACTGCTTGTTTGAAATGGCTATACACTACAGTAATTAGAAAGTGCTGTTACTGGTTAGCAATTAAGCCTTGATAAAACTAAGGGTTTAAATGTGTTAGCTTACTGCCAGGTAAATCCTAACTGGATTACAGTAGAAGTTTGGTGTACAAACATGAGCATGTTTGTGTTAGGTGAGCTTTGCTGCGCAAGTTGTGTTTTTGGCAGCCATGTCTTAACAACCTGGTCATCATGGGGAAACACAGCTAAAATGAACATGGAACAGTCAGAAAGGGTGTATGTAGTTAAAAGCCTGGTTTAGTAGAGGATGAAGTAACAAAGAATAAACAAAACTGGTAAAAGAAGAAAGTAGTAAATGTTCTACTGATTTTCAAATTCCCGTCCTCAGGATTTATGTGGAGGTAGTTTATGTGGGCTGTTGAAGAGATTTTTAGCAATGTTAAGGGGATATTCATCAGGGATTGTAGTGATAGAACAAGGGGTGATGAGTTTAAACTTAAACAGGGAAAGTTTAAGTTAGATACAAGGAAGAAGTTCCTCACTGTGAGGGTGCTGAGGCGCTGGCACAGGATGCCCAGAGAAGTGGTAAATGCTCCATCCTTGGCAGTGTTCAAGGCCAGGTTGGACAGAGTCTTGGGTGAAATGGTCTAGTGTGAGGTGTCCCTGCCCATGGTAGGGTGTTGGAACTGGATGATCTTAAGGTCCTTTCCAACCCAAACCATTCTACAATGCTGATGTTGGATATACCTAAATTCTGACATTTAAATTAAAGATGTTATATGAGAAATTCTGTCTTTAGAAGCTTCTGTAGCAAGGAAGCCAAGTGTTTCAAAAAAGTCAGCTTTACATGGCAAAAAAGAGTAAAAGATTTTTTTAAGCAAAACTGAAATTACTTTTTTTGTGTCCTTTTTTTTTTTTTAACAGTTCACTTTTAAAAAGCAAGAAACATGTAAGAAAGTTTGTACAAGATCATATGACCCAGCAAACAGTGCTGATAAAAGCAAACTGGCTTTTTTGAAGAAAGGAATGCAGTTGAATTATCAGCATCACTGGTAAGCTGAGCTGTGTGCTTGAGCTTGGGGGTGTGTGCTGCTGTTTACATTGTTAATTATGTTCTAAGAGGTTGCTTTCTTCCTTCTGTGTGGTAGTTGTCCTCTGCTGTGTGTCTTGTGGCCACTACTGAAAGCTGTGTGCATTACATGAATATCAAATGTCAAGGTGAAATGAAGTGCATCCCCTTCTGAGGATGTGTTCTTTGATGCTTTCTCTCTAGGATTATTGACAACATGCCTGTAACGTGGTGCTATGATGTGGAAGATGGACAAAAATACTGTAATCCAGGATTTCCAATAGGATGTTTTGTTACTCCAGATGGTAGAGTTAAAGATGCTTGTGTTATAAATGTAAGTGCTGGAACCTTTTTGGTCAATATAGTGGATATAATTCCATGCACAGTGTTTTTAAGCTTTCCTGAGAAAGAACAGATACCCCTGTAAACCTGGTTGATGTTCATAATGTGGGCATTGACAAAGCTGAATGCTGCTTCTATATGCAGTGTCTTTCTTTGACCAATATACATAAAGCTATAAAACAGCTGTGTTGGTATCTAAAAGCCTTAGAAAAATTGAGGTTTTGTTCTGAAATTTCATGTGTCTCCATCCTTGTACTTACCCATCTTTGTCCATGTTGTATTTGCATGCAGGATCTTCTTTTACTGATTTCGGATAGAAGCTTTCTAGTGAAGACCTAGAAATGAGCACTGTGTTCTAGTTGCAAAAGTTAGGTCTAGCACAGTTGACAAGTTAAATGTGTCAGGGTTTTCCCAGCTGGCTGGAAGATAACGAACACAGCTGTGACAGGGAAAGAGTTCTACTGACAACAATCTGAAATGTGTCAGTTATCCTGGGAGTTCCATGGTGAACTAATACAGTTACAGATAACAGTGATAGAGTTTCATTTCTCCTGAGGTGAGGGACCACACTCATTGCAGGGAGGAGAGAGCTCTCTGCTGTGACTGTGCTTTGCTACTTGACTTAGTGCTTGTATGCAGAGCAGGCAGTTTGTATTCAGCAGGTCTGATGCTTCTTGGAAGTGATGCATTAGTCATGCACATTCAGTTTACTCTGTCTGCAATCATCTTCCAACTTAGTTACTCCTTAGGCTCCACAGACTATTGAAAATGGCCTATATCTTGAGTAACCTGTTCCAGTTCAGTGTTCATAGAATCATAGAATGGTTTGGGTTGCAAAGGATCTGAAGATCATCTAGTTCCAACCTGAATCTGAATTACTTGTACCTTGAATAAATAGATCTTTGAACTTATTTTGGCAACTTTTTGTGGAAAGTACAAAAATGATGTCAAACACATTTAAATTTTACTTGCAAAACAGATGTGATCCTTTATGTGGGCTTTTAGGTGTGTAATTAAATATAATACACAGAAAAAGACGTATTTTTAGAGGTATGTTAAAAAGAAGTGGGTGTTGAGGTATTTCCCCTCCTTTCTTCCTCCTTCCTTGGACAATAGACTCATTTTAAAGTTCTTGAGTGCTTGCGCCCTCTCCTGTTGGAGAAGTTTCTCAATGTCTCGATGCTATTTTGTAGTCAGAGTTTAACAAGAAGAACACTTTCTACCTCTTCAACCACGTTGACATAACAATCATGTACCATAGTGGGAAGGATGAAAACTGGCCTGGTGCACGACTGGTGACGGCAAGACTGAGACCACAAAGGTAATTGTGCATTAGAGCAGCAAGTTCTAGTACTAGAGAATCCTTCCAGTAGTTGAAAGCTTAGGCACATTACCTGGTGTCAGTAAGTTCTGAGGACCTGGTGGTTCTGATTTCTGATAAAGCTTTTGGTATACCTCATGGCTGGAACTCTGTTTACAAAGGGCAGTTCCAGGTTCATAAATGTCATTTAACTCTACTTTTAAAATGTTCCCCAAGTCCTTCCTGATGGAAAAACTGCTTGTGCAGACTTCTTAGAACCTGACACAAACAATAGAAGCTTTCTTATGTTTATTGATTTACAGTTGGGTGTGTGCTACTTTCTTTTAAAAGACAACCTTTAATGGAGTAACAAGTTTGCCATGTCACCTTTCTTCTTGTTGCTGCATTGCTTCTCATGTGCTTTGCATGAGTGCGCAGTATCTGTACAGGTGTGCTTTTACCCGTGTTAGTTTGTATACTGAGGTACAGGTGAAATACCAAGTTAATACTGGTATTCAAGACAGCAGAAGACAAGAACTGATTTCCTAAAAAGACTAACTTTCTTCAACAGTAGCTCCTTTGTTTCTGTGTTGACCAAAGGAGATGCAACAATTCAGAAGTCAGAAACAGACTGAAGTGATTAATTCAGCCTCTTCTCTGTTCATGCACAGTTTATACTTACACATATTGAAAACCACAGTCCATTGATAAGATTTCAGAGTTGTGTTTTTAGCTTTTTCTACTTTTCTGCAGAGGTTAAATACGTTCTTAAGTTACACTACCACATTTTCTCAGCTCATAGATACATGAATAGTACAACATGACTCAGGTATCCTTGGTTTTTCTGTTGCAATGGTATAATGTGGTTTTAGTACTACCAGCCTTCTCCATCGTTGATTAACACCTGATCATTTGCATCCTGAATGGCTGAAGTGAGGATTTGACTTTCCACCAGTAACAGAGACCACAAGAGGGCACAGTTGGGTTGCACATAACCTTGATTTTGTCATTCTCTGACACAGTGTTTTGCTTGGTGCTTTGCTTCAACCTTGAAGGTCTCTTGATAGCAGTATTTGTGGCTGGAGCACCCTAGGCCTTAGGTGAAACCTTTTGTTTGGGGCTTGACTTAGTTGCTGACATATAATAACACATATAAAGTGGAACTGTTTATCTAAATGGTGTAAATACAACTTGCCCAAGTGGGTGTGAGAGGGAAGCTATTTTCCAGTGTTCACAGGAGTGAATTCAAGCAAACCTCAAGGGTTTTTTTGACTTTGTGCTTCTACAGCTGCAGTATTTCTAAGATACTGCAGAGACAGGTTTGTGTATTTGAACTTCAGAATGTAGAATATTGTTCTGAGTTCTGTATTTTCCGGAGTACACGAGCCTGATGAAAGGTGAGATTAGACCAGTTGTGTAGGAATGGAAAATGGAAAGGTTCCCACAGTCATTCTTTTGCCCCAGTATAAAAAGATACTCCCAAATCCACCAAAATAAACCCTCTTCTCCCTGTAGAACTTCAGGAAAAGATGAGAGCCTGTGAGACTGCATTACTGGTGAGGGACTTAACCTCAGTGTCAGTGAGGAAGATGAGGATGTCTAAGCTGTCTTGGAAGGGAGGCATCATGGCAGAGAAGAGAGGGATTTTGTGTTCAACTTGCTGTCTTGCCAGGTGAAGATCCCCAAGCTTCACAGCCTGGTTAACCACGCAGCATTGGAGGTTAGGACTAGGACTTCATTCATGGCAGAAAAGTGGGTAGGGTGAAACCTCATCTCATGCCCTTTAGGGCTCTGTGGTTCTTGTCTCCCACACGCTTAACAAACAGCTTTGCCTATAATTTCCTCAACTGCTTTCAGGTGTGAACAGATACTAACCGAATGTGGGATAGGGATCCAAGATCCAAAGGATGCTTTCTGTGAAGTTCTTAGCTCTCACTACAAGTGCTTGTGAGGAGCAGTGTTCAGTTCTGATGTGGCTTTAAGCCTGTACAAAAGATCTGACATATTATATATGTGACTTATTCTAATGTTATCTCAAGCTACAAACATGAGTAGCAATACTTTCTAGGATCTTAATTTTTTGTTGGTAGAAGAACCGAAAGGCAGGTTCTCAGAGAGGTTAAATAGGTGGTGCAAAATAACATACACAGCTCTCCATTTGTTTGGCTTTTAAAGAAGTACTTGTTTGAATTACCTTAGAAAAGATTTAATAAAAATGAACATTGTAAAAGATATACAATTTTCTTTAACTTTTTATTCCTTCCCCCCACTAGCTACAAACATACAGATGAGAACAACTTAAGTTGTGAAGGTCCCCCTATGGAGATTCCTGGAGAGTTCAACAGCAAACTGAATCTGATCTACACTTACTCTGTGACATTTGAAGTAAGTATTGAATCTATTAGGTGAATATGTAATTCCCCAAAAGAATGACATCAAAACTGGATAATTTGCTAATAGCCATAAGTGGATTAAAGCAGTGTAAATTCCATAAGGAGGGTCTTGTGAAGCAGTTTGCCCCAAACCTGTTACTTTGCTATTACTGTAGTTTGACATTTGACTTCCCCCCTGTTTTGTTACTAACAGAAAGGTAGTAGATTGAGTAACTGCAAGGCTTGTCTTCGTTGAGGTGTGCTCTATGTTGTCAGTGTTCAGCTCAGTCAGGGTACTGAGAATCTCATGTAGAAGAGATGTTTGCATTATATTTGTAGGCACTTCTGTGTTCAGTGTTGGTTTTAGCATAAGGTAAAGCTCTTCTAATGAAGTTGCAGGTCCTGTCTCATTTTGTATGCCTTCACTTTCTTTTGGAGTAGGTGGCCATTTATCTTTTAGACTTAATACTCTATTGTTTGCTAACACTAAAATGGTTTGTTCAGTCTGTTAGGAGGAAGCTGGGCTTTCTTACAACTGGGTCTTTACCCCAGCATGGAAAGTGAGCCTCCTGTGGGGGTCAGAATCATTTGATTCAAGCTACTTCAAACTTTGGCACCTTGGTTCCAGTGTGTCCCAAAAGCCTAGTTGTTTTTTTTTATGTGAGACACCAGTCTTGCAGGATTTACTTGACCACCAGCTTGTTTTCTGTAGGCATCAAGCAGCTATTATATGGTAACAGCTTTCATTCTGCCAAATTGAATTTGATTTGAACCAATGACCCTGAGGTGCAGGCTCTGTATCCTGTTACTTTCCTCCTGTGACACCCAATCCTAATCTTACTACATGAATGAGCCTCCTGTCTATTAACATTTGTGTTTAAATCTTGATGATAAGTTGGAATTTAACTTTATCTGATTATTCCTGCGATGTGTTCCACATCTGGGCTATGTGTTCCCTTTCCCTCAGGCACAGAGCAGGTAAAGCTTAGCTCCTGTGGTCAGACACTTCCAGCACATCTTGGTCACCAGGCTCCTCAAAACTGCTTCTTTCTGTTATCTGTTAGCCTTGATTTGAAATAATATCTGATATGGTTTACTTTTTAATAGTATTCTCCAAATAGCTTAAAAGGAGAGTATTTATCAGTAAGGAGTCTTCTTAAATAAGAGAACATCAGTTTCACTAAGCCTGAATACATAAACCAGTAAAATGAATAACTGTTATATGGTCCTTTTCTAATATGTCAGCTGATTTAGAATCATAGAATGGTTTGGTTGAAGAGACCATAAAGATCATCACTGCTGATCATTTTTAGACTGTACAAACTTACCAGCTCATAAATAAATGAAGATGTTCATCAGAACTTCATGGCATTCAGGAGACGGAATTGGGTAGCAGGACAGTGGGTGTACATCTCATGGAACATGCTGTAGGGAACAAGGCTTGAGGTCAGAAAGAGCCATCATTTGTGCAGCTCCTGCAAGAAGGATTTAGGGGAGAAGGTAGGAGAAAATGGAAGCATCTTTTGAAGGTCAAAGTTGCTGAATGATTTCTTCTTAAATCCTTCACAGGGATATCTAGAAATGAAGATTGGCTGTGAGGAATCAGAGTGGAAAATAGTCTGGATCAGACAGCATTGTGGCAGGGAGTGAGGAAGCCTGTGCTAAATACATTATAGGTGATAAGAGAAAAGTACCAGGGGAAACTAGAAACATAGAGTATACTTAACAAAACTAATGTTTCAACTGTAGCTGTGTTATGCTGGGAGTATCTTCTTGTGGCATGATTGTTTTCAGCATGCCTTTGGGAGCTGAAGGCAGCTACATACTGAATCATGGAAACATGAGGCTTAGCGAAGCCTCAACTGAAGGTAGAACATGTGGATAGGAGATTTCAGTAAACAGGGTATTCTTTGAGAGGCTCAAGAGATGAATTAATGCAAGAAGGAGGTCTGATAAACAGGGTTGATACCAAGCATAGATGTTTGTGCTGAATGGAAGGCTTGTGGAAGAGATTTGATGTGCATATCCCTTCTCAGACTGCAACAAACTTGTTTCTATTAATTGCTATTTAATTTATTTGTAGGAAAAGAATAATATTAAGTGGGCTTCCAGATGGGACTACATTTTGGAGTCCATGCCACATACAAACATCCAGTGGTTTAGGTAAGACTTGCATTTATTCAGTGAATAACCTTTCAGAGGAGCACAAAGCTTTCTTGTTTGTGCTTCCAGGGCTATATAACTTCTGCTGTCATAAAACAAAGGCTGTTAGTTTTCAGGCAAGAAAACCTTCTTGTTTTCATCTGCAGTCACTTTTATCAGTGTTCCATCTCTTGGGAACAACTGCAGTATTGCATTTCACCAAAGGAATGCACCATTAATGTCCAAAAGGAAAGCAGCTTCCATCAGTTTACTTCAGCATCTCTAATCTGTAAAGCTTTGGAGATGTTGCTGCTCTGCAATGTTCTTACTGTTACTGTCTGGCTTGCTCTAACTGCCAAGTGAGAGATACATGTGTGTGCTGCCTGTTTGGTACTTAGCAGCTGCATACAGTAAAAAGAAGGGCTTTTTAATGAGTGAAAGATGTATGTGAAAAAACTCATACTCATTTCCCTCTGCATAATGCAAATTATATCCAGTACATAATCTAAGTTGAAACGTTCATGTTTTGCAATACAGAGTGTTTGAAAAGGCTGATCTGATTAAATTAAATGGCATGATATAGATTTCATTGGTCACTAGATATAAAATCTGCTTGACAGAGTCTGCTTTAATAGCTGTAGTGTTTCACTAGGGAGAATATTTGATCTCTATAAGGAGGAAAATAAAGAAAAGCAGGGTGTAAATCTTGAGAATTAACAATATATCATGAAATACTATTCTTCTTTCTTCTGGCTCCTAAGAAATCATAAAGGGACATGACTCAACAGTTTATCTTCTGAGTGGGAAAATACTGACAGGTCTGAATGACTTAAGTGCAGTCTGGGTATCTGAGGCTGTTCCTCTGTGGTAGGAATTGGAGTGCATGTCTCAACCTAATAAGTGGATTGAAAACTTACTTTTTCTTTATCTACAGCATCATGAATTCCCTCGTGATTGTTCTCTTCCTATCTGGCATGGTGGCTATGATCATTCTGAGGACTCTTCATAAAGACATTGCAAGATACAACCAGATTGACTCTTCTGTGAGTAGGATGTACAGCTTTTATATGAGCATGTTTTTCTGCGCTAGTCATGTCTATCAATGAGTTTTCAATACAATCTGAAGAGATGTAGAGCTACCAAGAATTTGCTATATGATAATATGTCTGGGGTTAAAAATAACTTTAGTGCTGTTTCATCTTTCCTAACAGCAGGAGTATATGGGCAGATGTGCCAGTCTTTCTTTTGTAGCATCATTCGATGAACTCGTAATATGCAAGGACAGACGTCAGGGTTTAGAAGTATGTGGAGTGACTCATAGAAACTTTTGGGAAGTATTTGAAATGTAAATCCCTTTGTTCCAAGGTCTCAACCAAGGAAAGCCTCTTTGCTTCATAAATACTTTCATATACGCCAACAGTGGCAAGACACAGTGCAGACACTGAAAAATGTTCTGGCATTGGTTCAAGATGTGGCAATTTCTTCTGTGCTTGCATTATGGTGTCAGTCTGGACATGTAGCTGGTGGTATGACACTCACCTGAGCAACCAGTGTATTATTTCTGTATTATTTATGGGATCTCCAACCTTGGAGATATTCAAAACCCATCTGCACATGGTTCTGGGTAACCTGCTTTAGGTGGCCCTGCTTGAGCAGGGAGGTTGGACAAGAGGAGCTCCAGAGATCCCTCCCGTCGATCACTGAGTGATAGGTGAGATTCCTTGTTAATGCAGGCCCATTTTAAGTCATGTTATATGGTCACAGCACAGGACCTGCACTGTGTCTGTTGCAGAGACATCTGCAGCATAGAATTGCTGCTTTGGCGTGTTTTCTGCCTAAAAATGGGTTTTGTAGTCTGAACTATCAAACTCGATAAGTGTTTTTTGCCTCTTCAGGAGGTCAGGCTTAAAACTACTGAAGACAGGTATTGTCCCCTCTGTAATGAAGTTGCTTTAGGAAGCTCAGGTGTTGTCACTTTTCCATTTCTAAGGTGGTGTTTCTTTAGAGTAGTTTGTAGTGTAGCTTGTCTGGAAAGCAAGTGTGTTAGCACTTGTTATGTTTGGAAAGTTTGTACTCTAGATGTCATGGGAAGTATGATGCTGTGCAACTTTATAAAGCAAAGAAAACCCCCAAACCAAACGCACTATATGAGTTGATTATTGCAAAAAAGGATCAAAAATTAAACCAACGGGAAATAAGGGAGTGAAATTAGTGGGAGGCTCAGTAGTTGTCTTGCTGGATGTTGTGGGAAAGAGTCTGACTGATACAAATTGATGTTGCCTTTTGCCTGTGCCTAGAAATTGTGGTGAAATCATAGATTCCCAGAGTGGTTTGGGTTCAAAAGGACCTTGAGATAATCCAGTTCCAACCCCCCTACCACCACTAGACCATGTTGCCCAAGGCTCTGTCCAGCCTGGCCTTGAACACTGCCAGGGATGGATCATTTATGACTTTGAGCAACCTGTTCCAGTGCCTCGCCACCCAAAGAACTTCTTCCTTAGATCTAACCTGAACTTCCCCTGTTTCAGTTTGAACCCATCACCCCTTGTCCTATCGCTACAGTCCCTGATGAAGGCCCCTCTCCAGCATCCTTGTAGCCCCCTTCAGACACTGGAAGCTGCTCTGAGGTCTCCACGCAGCTTCTCTTTTCCAGGCTGAACAGCCCCAGTGTTCTCAGTCTATCTCCATACAGGAGGTGCTTCAGCCCCTGATCATCCTTGTGGCCTCCTCTGGACTTGCTCCAACAGCTCCATGTCCTTCCTGTGTTGAGGACACCAGAACTGCACACAGTGCTGCAAGTGGGGTCTGAAAAGAGCAGAGCAGAGGGGCAGGATCACTTCCTTCAACCTCCTGCTCATGCTTCTTTTGATGTGTACGGCTGGCTTTGTCTCCTGTTAGGAGATTACATATGAACTGCAACATCTCAACACAACTTCTGCTCACTAACTGTGTTAGAACTACTTGGGGGTTGTGTGAATGATGGGGTTTTAATTTTGGTCCCTATAATGGCTTTGCTGCCTTAATGGAAAAGAATGTAACTGATTGTGAGTTAGTAAGACTTGACCAGTGGATGAGTGAAAGGCTGAATAAAGACGATTCCTTCTCACTGGTAAAAATGGTATCTGCGAGCCATAGAGGAGAAATAATGTCAGATACTACAAAGGCTTGAATTTTCATTGTTGTTGCTATCTGGATAAAGGAATACTTTAAAATGCATAAAAATGTTTCATATTGAAACTAACATCTAAAAGCACTTTTATTCTTCTTTGGTTTTGATATTTAATATCTTTTGTTAATGCAAATGCAGACACTAATTTAAAGGGGAAGAATTTTTCCACATCCTTTAACTGATGGCTTTTGAGAAGCTCCTGTTTGATCTCTCAATTAAATTATGTTCAATATCTTATACTGTCTTGTCCTTATTAGTTGGCCATTCTTAATGTGATAAGGAGGAAGACATGTAGGAGCTTGGTTAGTTTTGATGGATAGCAGAAGGAATAGGTGTGACTTCCAAAAAGCCATGCTTTGTTTTCCTGCCAGTTTGTGAGACTTCAAGATCTGTTACAGTTCAAGGAGCTGATTTATAAAGGTGTGAATTAGTGGTACAAAAGAGGACTTGGGCTGAAGAAGCTGCAGGGGAGCAACTTAGTATCTCACACATAGGGAATGCTGGTGGTCGATGTGCAAGCCAGAGCCGGTGGTCTTGGTATGCACATTTCATGTTCAGCTGATACCGACTGGCTTTTAGTATGATGTAGATGTAGTGAGACATACATTAATCAAGTGTTTGGAAGTCATGGAGTTGCCTTAAGGATCTTACGACTAAGGGAAGATACCTGAAGAGTAATCTTTGAAGATTTAGAGTAATTTTTAGCATATAGGCCAAGATTCAAACGTATCTTTTTAGCTTTGCCTTAGATATTTTGCTGTGACTGTAAAGTGTAGCTTCCTTGTTGTGTCAGGAACTAAAGGACTGAGCATTTATTTCTGCTTGGTGTTCATTTTGAAAACAGATAAGGATTTACTTCAGACGGTAACCTTTAAATTCTTTCATTTCTTACTCCCAACTACCTTCTGTCTTACCTCAGAACTTTATCATCATCATCATCATAATTAGTTCTCAGACTTAAAGTCTGGTCTTTGTGCTGTTTTAACCAAATAAACCTTTCCATACTGGAAAAGCACTGATGTGTTGGAATTATACCTTTAGCATTTGCTTTGCAGGGAAAGGTAGTTGGGTTTTGAGTTTCTCTGTGCTATCTTCTGTTTAATAGTTTTAGGTTTTGTGTTAGTGATCAGACTTCTGAGAGTAATCTCTAGCCAGAAAATACAAGCAAGTTAAGATGCTCTGTGTCATTCACTGCTTGGGTCTGCATTATTTCTAGCCCTGTTTTTTTGTGTGCTGTACTCCTAGTGGTAAGCAGTCCATTAAACTAACCTCAGCACTCCTTGTTGAATGTATCTCTTAACTTTGTGAGGGAGAGAGTGACCTTCTTGAGGGGTTGGTTCTTTGTGGTTGTGTGTGTTTGGTTGGTTTTGTGAAGGGAAGTGTTTGTTTTGAGTGACTTGGTTGAAAAGTTCTGCTGTTAGTGGTTCCTTAGAGCTGCTGGACTGAGGATTCCTTCCCTGATCCATCCATTCACCTCTGGCACTGCGACAAAGAGTGTTGGTACTTGCCCATGTGATTGCAGGGAGCAAACTTCCTTCTGGAGTACAGAGGCCTTTTAATTCTTTCCCAGTATTGTCATTAAGACTGATATGCTTTGCAAGAGGCAAGAAAAGACAAATGCTTGAACTAGCTTGAAATGCTATAATCCAAGTTAAATGGAATGCTTTGTTTTAGTTTAAATTTAGAATGATGTTCTATGGCTTGGCTAATTACATTTTGTTTCTCCTTGCTTTAAGAGATGAGGATTTTCTTGATAAAGCCTGCCTTTTTCTTTCACTGAACCATTAGGGGGTTATAAAAATCAAGGAGTGATGAATCAGATGCAATTAGTCTGTCTTTAGATCTAAACTGGAAGTTAATCAGACTTTAAATATGGATTTTGCATCATGTTAATTCACTACTGCTTTATGCGTCTTTGCTAAAGACATTGCTGATTTTATACAGGAAGATGCCCAAGAGGAATTTGGCTGGAAGCTGGTCCATGGAGATGTGTTTAGACCTCCAAGGAAGGGGATGTTACTGTCTGTCTTCTTGGGCCAAGGAACTCAGATCTTCATTATGACATTTATTACCTTATGTGAGTAACTTTATTAAGTGATGTGTTTGTCATGTTATAATGTAAGAAAAATGCAGTATTATTAGATGATAGAAGCCTTTTGGAAATGAACTCCTTCCTTTAGTAAAATATTAATGTGGTTTCATAGTAGTAACCTAGGTAGCTTCAGCAATGCTGCTGTAAGCAGTGTCATTCCAAGCATGCTATCTGGGCTCATTCTTATTCTTCATGATGCAGAAATGAAGCTTCCTTGTTACAAGTTTGGTTTTGGTTTGTAAAAGGAGTTTGTTGTGGTGTAAATTATCCAGAGATCCAGTAATGCAAGTTCAAAGACATAAAATGAAAGCTTTTTGTTCTCAGAACACTTTTTATCTAATACTTGTGACACAGCAATCTGCAGCCATGCAGGAATAAGAGCAAGAATGCACACCAGTGGAACAATACTGACACAACACTGAGATTGAGAGCCTGTTATATACATGTGGTGATGGAGACCGTCACAAGTTGGTGTTTTATTATATGCTGTCTATACAGTATATTGTAGAATCTCATAATGGTTTGGGTTGGAAAGGACCTTAAGATCATCCAGTTCCAACCCCCTGCCATGGGCAGGAATGCCTCATACTAGACCATGTCACCCAATGCTATGGCCATGGGATTGGGGGATATGAGAGCTTATGCTCATTTAAATATCAAGTAGTGACAGGGATAAACCTTTACAGTAATGTGTTACAAAGGATTTTTGCTACCTGTCCACAGATAACTAAATTCTTTTTCTCTTTAGTCCTAGCTTGCCTTGGTTTTCTTTCTCCTGCCAACCGTGGTGCTTTGATGACCTGTGCAGTTGTACTGTGGGTCTTACTGGGAACTCCAGCTGGTTATGTGTCTGCTAGAATGTACAAGAGTAAGTACATGTTTGTTCAGTGTGACACAGCAGGGTAAATTCAGAGGTGCTAGATTTAATGTAAACCTCACACTGGAGCTGGTGTCTCGGGCAACAAACTTGCTTCTTGCTGCCCTATTGCAAAACAGTGGCAAAAAGCCTTGAACTTGAACTTGTTTTTATCTTTCCCTCAGCATTTAGAGGTGAGAAGTGGAAGACAAACGTTTTGCTTACAGCTCTGCTCTGCCCTGGGTTAGTATTGTTTGCCCTTGTTCTTTTATTCTTAAGTGTAGAGGAATGTGAGGTGGGAAGGAATGGGGGGGGAAGTGAACTGTTCTGTTTGTGTGCTCTTTATCTTTATTGTTCTCCAAGTTGTTCCTTTTGAACATTACCTATAGTTGAACGTGAAGAGAAATGAATTCTGAAGAGTTGGAGCCCAGAACTCTACAGCAGAACTTCTTAGCATCTTGTTTGGTGACCAGGGCTGGGAGGAATGGTGGGATTCCTTCACAAGGCAGCAGCATCACAGCCTGTGAAAATCACTGCAGCAGAGCATTAGGCATAGTGATGGGCCAGTTCCAGTTACGTACCTCGACATTTGGAATGTTTCAGATAATCCTGTCATAACTGGGAATACTTATGGCCACTTTGTGGTTTTGTGGTGACTTTGGAGTGTGTGTAGTGCTTTTATGTAAATAGGGAGACAGCCTTTTAGGCAGAACCTCTATGACCTTAACTATAGTATCAGTGTTTTCTTGTACCCATATTATTAAAAAGAACACAGGAAATATAACTTAAATGTCTTATAGCTATATAGTGCTATACTAAACAGCAGATGTTTCCTATGCTTCTGGGTGAGAATTATGCAGAGATTCTCTTCAGTTGGATATAACCTTATATAAAAGTAGGTAGTGTTTCTGATATGGCTGTGGTGTGTAGCACACTATGGCAAATACTGTCGTGCTTGGGAAGAGTAGTGCCTCTCCTATTTTTCATCTTCTCATAGCTCTCAAGACCTTCCGTGTGAATTAAATCAGTGAAGAAAGGGAGCAGAAACCAATTTCTTCAAGTCTTCTGTTTCTTAGGTGAAATTTTGGGTACATGAAGCTCTCCCTTGACAAGTACCCTTTGGCAAAAGTTGAGCCAAAGGTTATAAATCAGTTGTTAAGGTATTTCCCCCCCAAATGAATAAAATGTGACTTGGTTTTGAGTCAAGTAGAATTTTATCAAGTGTAAAGTGTGTGATAACAACCGAGTGTAGTATTTCTATGAGGAAACCTTGCTTCTGAACCAAATGTGCTGCAGTCTCCCTGCTGTCATTTAGATGTTATCAGGAGAGCAAAGAAAATATTTATCAGTGGCAGAAATACCATGCTGATCATTTACATTCCCAAATAAATGAAGTTGCACAGAGGAAGGAAAATGATTGGGGATGGTGCAATAGGAACAGATGTCTTGATTATGTTATGCTACTTTAGTGAATTTGCATAATATCATAAACAGCCCAAGGGCATTCAAGTCCCAGGAGACTGATGGCAGCTCATGTTTGCAGTACTTCTAAATTTGGAGGGGGTAATTGGGGTCTGTGTTAGGAGCTGGGGCACATTATAAAGATGAGCAAGTCTTTAAACTGGCTGTGATTTGTTATATTTTGTTCCACAAGACACTTACACCAGGGGTCGCTTGGGTGTGCTTGTTTAACCATTGCCCCAGCCAGTTTGGGTGAGGGTAAGGCCTCTCCTAGGGCAAAAGGAACCTGTCCTCTCTCCCTAGACAGAGCTCTAATCCTCCTTCCTTCCTTTTTAAATACAGTGGAGGATGCATGTTCACTTCAGGCCAGTTTAAGCTGTGCCTTGGGAACACTTTTTCAGCAAAACCCCAGACAAGGGGCCTTTCCTGAGCTCATTTTTTTGTGCTGCATCTCTGAATCCATGAACAGTGGCAATTCAAGCAGGTTTTTCTATGGAAAAAGCAGAACTGTTCCTTTACAGTACATCCTGCTTTGTTTGGGATGGGATGATTGAAATCCTCATCATACATCTCAGAGTTCTTTTCTAGTGGTTTTCCAGGATGTTTACAACATGAGGCAGATGCACTTAACTGGGGAGGGAAGAACAGGGCTGGAGAGTGTCATGATTGCTACAGTCTGAGTTTGGCAAAGGTATGGGCTGCTTAACTGTGTGACTTCATGAGGTATTAACACAGAGATTCTTTCTGTAATCCACCCTTCTGCTCCTGTGCTGCTCTGACAGATGCTGCAGCAGGGAGTATGTTTGTTGTGAGTGACATGTGCCTTCCTAAATAAGAGATTTTGCCATCACTGTGTTGTTTCAGAGGGCATTTACTAACTCTGAAGGACCTCAGTAAAGGAATTAAATGACAGTAACAGGAAAGGTGATTCAGATAGAAGATTTTTTTATTTTCTAGTTTTGCATTCTTTATATGCATTTTTATAATGGAATATTTCTGTTACTTCTGGTTTTATGTGCAGAGTCTGTATTGAAATAGTGGCTTTACTATAGATATTTGCATTGGAAGCATTTTTACATCAAAGTAACTACAGCTGTTAGGGAATGAAAGGTTGTAAGAAGCTAAGTTGTTCTGATGCAGACTCATAACTGCTTTATGGTTTTTAACACTAACTGATATTTATTCCTTCCTGAATATTTTAATATCTTTTTGTGATATATTTTTCAGCATTGTCTTTGCTGATTTCTTCATCATGAACCTCATCCTGTGGGTGAAAGGATCCTCAGCTGCCATCCCTTTTGGCACTTTGGTTGCTATCCTAGCTATGTGGTTTGGAATCTCGGTCCCACTCACTTTTGTTGGTGCATATTTTGGCTTCAAAGAGAAGGTAAGGCTCTTTGAGCACAGATTTGAAATGCAGTTGTCCTCTGGAGTTGAATCATTGGATCCCCAAGCATGTGAGATCTGTTTGGATTGAAAAGTCTGTGGCACTATGGCTGTAAAATGATGTTTCGCTTTGTCATTATATATTATAACCGTAACTTGAATTTATGCTTATAATCATAGAATCCCAGACTGGTTTGTGTTGAAAGGGACCTTAAACTCACCCAGTTCCAACCACAGGCAGGGACACCTTCCACTAGGCCAGGTTGCTCCAAACCCCATCCAACCTGGCCTTGAACACTGCAAGGGATGGGGCATATGTGTTTATTCCTAATGATGCTACCAAGTTTGTAGCTTATTTTATTTGGTAACTTGTGATGACTTAGGAAAGAAATTCAAGTGATGTTTGTCAAATCTTCAGATGCAGATATTGGGGAAAAGTAATCTGATTTATGATATAACAGTTTCTCTTTTAATTACATTCATTTCTCCTAAAGCCTATTGAGCATCCAGTACGTACAAACCAGATTCCTCGCCAAATTCCAGAGCAGTCCTTCTTCACAAAGCCCTTGCCTGGTATCATCATGGGGGGCATCTTGCCTTTTGGCTGTATTTTCATTCAACTGTTTTTCATTCTGAATAGCATTTGGTGAGTATCACTCTTTTTACTGTTGTTGTTCTAGTTTATGTGGGTTTAATTATAAACACACAGTGAGTTTGAACATCCCAAACCAGTTAATATAAGGAATAAACCAATTTGTCAATTTATCTTCTTGCAGACTTGAGTGGAATTCCAGGATCTGCATATTTATCCCTGTGCTCAGAACTTATAAAACTAGTTCTCATTGACAGCTGCGAAGTGTGAAGTTGAAGTCCTGTTGTCTTGTTTTCTATCTGGCTCTGAATGGCACCAATGTGGTTTCATGCTGTTGTGATTAGGTGGAGCCTAATCTGTTGTGTGTGTTACGATTTATAAAACTAATATGGAGCAGTTTCAGCTGTTAAATAGAATCAGGTCAAGAAACTGGGATTCCATGATCTGTAAAACAAAGACATGCAAACACCACTCCTAAATCTAGTCAAAACCTAGTTAAGCAAGTGCATGGAGAGTTAAACCAATGCAGTCTGTCATAACTTCCACACTGCAAACATGGAATGTTCGGTATGTTGTAATTCAGTGAAAAATACTAACCTGAAAGTGCCAGGTTTTTAAGGTGTCCTCTGTTTATGTTGAGATTTCTTACAGAGCAGGTTTCTACATCAGTTCTTCAATCAAATCTGTTAGATATGTTAGCCTTTCATGTGAGTCCTCAACAAAGGTAGAAACCATGTAATATAGCTGTGCTGGAAAAGGTCATTCTCATTTTTTATCCCACAGAAAGGAAGCAATGAGGGAATGTGCAACTGATACCCTTCTGTCAAATGTTATGCTGCAGTAATTGTCACCATCACTCAGTAAAGTTGGTTACTTCTCTTACCTGAAAGACACCAGATTAAAAGTAACCGAATATGTTCCCCTTGCATTTATTTTCCTGGGTGGTTTTGGGTTTGGTCAGACTTGGTCTGGGGCTAGACTGGGAATGGAGGAGCATCCTGTTGGATGTAATGAGGAGATGCAGAGACACCTGATAAGACTTAGCTGCAGTAAGAGGAAGGAAGCACATACTGTAGCTGAGGAAGGGTACAGGTGATGCAAGAGTCAGATAAGTTAAAGTCCTCCCGAAAGAGAGATCTGAAGTGACCAACATCTCTGAGGAAATTATCCATAACTATTCTGTGGGAACACTCACAGACACTAATTTCAGGAGAAGCAGAGCTGAACACTTTGAGCACTGTTCTGTAGAGCAGTGGTTTTATTCCTGCCAGCTTAAATGAGTGGATATTTACAGGGCACAACTCGGAGCACAGCTTAAACATCAGCTAATAGTGATAAAGACAAAGTTACGTCAGTGGTGTGGGGTTTGTGTTTTGGTTACCTCAGCACCTGCAGTGGCACTGTAAATTTGCTCAAAACTTCAACCTAAAATGACTCTTGATTTTGTTCTTATTTCAGGTCTCATCAGATGTATTACATGTTTGGATTCCTCTTCCTTGTTTTTATAATCCTCCTTATTACATGTTCAGAAGCTACAGTTTTGCTGTGCTACTTCCACCTCTGTGCAGAGGTAAAAAGTACAGTTTTGATGTAGATAACACTTTTAGGTAGATGTTAGAAATACTCCAGGTATTCCCATACACTGTGATGTGCTGTAAAAGGGAATACCCATATATTCCCGTATACAGTCCATATGTGATTGGATTGTATTATCAGCCTTTGACATGCTTGTCTTAGGCATGCTTCTGGAATGTACCTTGTGCTTCCCAATTCACCCTTTACAGCAGATAAACAAGAATCGGCAGCCTTGATTTTGGAATGTTTTCATGTTCATAGTGGAAGCAATACAGCTACGTGGAGAAAGCAGAAAGTGTCTATGTGATATGATGGAATTTCTCTTTTTTGAGGCTAATTTTGAAGAATTAAATGTATTTCATGAGACAGTGTTTGTTTTTAACCTGTTTTTTCTGGGTTGTCTCTTACTGAATGGTCTGGTTCTTTCAGGATTATCACTGGTGGTGGCGCTCATTCTTGACAAGCAGCTTTACAGCGGTTTATCTCTTCATCTATGCAGTTCATTACTTCTTCTCGAAACTCCAGATAACAGGAACTGCCAGCACCATTTTATACTTTGGTTACACAATGATCATGGTCCTGATCTTTTTCCTTTTCACAGGTAAGTACAGTGCTCCAACTGAAATGAAGGGGGGGTGTCCTTTTTTGCAATGAGAAACTATCTGAAACATCAAATACACTTTAGGCTGTGTTGCTTTTATAGTTTGTTATTCACACTTCACAATAAGAGATTCAAGGTATTTTTTCCCCTAACTTAAAATTACATTTATTTATAGTATAATTAATTTTCCTTTCTTGCATATTCTATTAGCAGTGAGTTCAAACCATTCCATTTTCAAAGTGCTGTTCTTGTTCACTTTGATATCAGGTGTTTTAACTTGAGTCTGGATTTCCTGTGTGGTTCTAGAAGTTGTATAGATAGAGATAATTGCATATGGAGAATAAAAGATGCTTTCAGCTTTCATTATTAGCAAGTGAAGCAGGTTGGTGCTGGGCAAAACGTGACTGTTGACAATGGAGTTGTGATGCTGTTAGAGGTGGTTTTACCTGCTCATTAAGCACCACTTCTTAATGACAGGAATGTGCCTTAACTGTGTAGGAAGTTATTTGAAATATGGCTACTAATAGCAGTCCAGCTTCTCTGATGTTACTCATGCAGACTAAGTGTTTTCTACAGAATGACTCTAATGTTCATAATCAGTTGACTCAAACGATAATTTTGAGGTTGATTTGATGAGAAATCTGTGCCAGTTTTACCATGTGTTAGATGAAATTAAAAGCTCTTTGAAGGGTACTGGCCCTTAAAAATAGCCAGGAGCGTTTTATATTGGTGTTCATCATACTGCTGCTGTTCTGAATGTAGTTTTAATACATGAAGTCATGTCTTATGTATCGCTGTCTTTAGTATCATGAAGTACTGCAGTGGCAGAGCTAGAGAAAATCACAGAATCCCAGACTGGTTTGTGTTGGAAGAGAACTTAAAGCTCCTCCAACTCCAACCCCTGCCACGGGCAGGGACCCCTTCCACTGGAGCAGCTTGCTCCAAGCCCCTGTGTCCAACCTGGCCTTGAGCACTGCCAGGGATGGGGCAGCCACAGCTTCTCTGGGCACCCTGTGCCAGCGCCTCAGCACCCTCACAGGGAAGAGCTTCTGCCTAAGAGCTCAGCTCAGTCTCCCCTCGGGCAGGTTCAAGCCATTCCCCTTGGCCTGTCCCTACAGGCCCTTGTCCAAAGCCCTCCACAGGTTTCTTGTAGCTCCTTTATGCACTGGAAGCTGTTCCAAGTTCTCCCAGGAGCCTTCTCCAGGCAGAGCAAGCCCAATTGTACTATGGGTTGTTCATAAAGCCAACCTTTACATTCATTCCTACAATCTGTAATAGGGGATCTCTCTGTGCATGATAATTTGTATTGTTACTTTTTAACATCATCTGCCTGATTACTGAAGCCTGCTCTAATTACTTTGAAATGCATCTCTTGGCTCCCTCAATGCAGTCAAGAAAGAGTGGCTAAAATAAGTATTGGAAGTAAGTCTTAGCATCTGACTTCAAGTTTGTCAGTTTAACACTGAGAAGAGCCTCTTTCATCCTTACTGCCTTTAATGCTGGTTGATACGACAAAATAAAGCGGTGTTCGTAGTAAAACGCTGAAGGAAATTACTGTATGTGTTTGTACAGTCGTATTTAATCATATTAACTGGCATTGCCTGCTGGTTTTCTGCTGTTGTTTTGTTATTTAGACCTGTGGCTCCTAAAGAAAGTAGAACAAAGAAGTGCAGTATAGAAGTGGCAATAAAAAGGGAGGAGGATTTAACTATAGGTTTTAACTATATCCCTGCTGATGGCAGGGGGGTTGGAACTAGATGATCTTAAGGTCTTTTCCAGCCCTAACTGTTCCATATTTCTATGATTCTATGAAACACAGAAATTAATATATTGCCAGTTAAACCTTGACTTAAATCCTGGTGAAACTCACAACCTCCAGATGTCCTTTGTAATATATATATTTAAAGAAGCACCAAACTGTACTCTAAACTGTTTTAATTCCTTTTAAACTGAAACAATATGTTAATGTGTGCCTGGGGTTTAGCATAGGTTAGTTGCTATCCTGCCAATTTCAATTTCACTTACAAGATGCAAATTGGGAGAATTAAAAATATCCCTTTCATATATAAAAGGATAATTGCAATTGGCATGGCAGCTGCTGGAATGGCATTAAAAGCTTCAGATGTGCTGCTGCTCCTGGAGTTCTTGATTTGGAGGCCCCAAAAGTACAAGAAGAAACTGGGCTGCTGTTGTTTTTGCAGTGCCTTATTGTTTTAAGAGAGCCACAGTAGTGAGGGCTGTGCTGCATTTCTGCTTCATGAAGAAAGCTACTACATGGTCACCCTTTAATAGAACAGCTTGTTACGGGAAAGGTAATGGGCATAGTAGGTATATGGAGTGTGTAGTAAATCCTTGCTAATGTAAAATGCTGTGATAAATTTCCATCATCAGTTTGAAGATTGATCTTTGGGTGGCTGAAGAAGTATGAGCAGCAGGTTGAAGGAGGTGATCCTGCCCCTCTGCTCTGCTCTTCTGAGACCCCATTTGCAGCACTGTGTCCAGTTCTGGTGTCCTCAACATAGGAAGGACATGGAGCTGTTGGGGCAAGTCCAGAGGCCATGAGGATGATCAGGGGCTGAAGCACCTCCTGTATGGAGACAGGCTGAGAACACTGGGGCTGTTCAGCCTGGAAACGAGAAGCTGCCTGCAGACCTCAAAGTAGCTTTCAGTAACTGAATGGGGCTGCAAGGATGCTGGAGAGTGACTCTTCATCAGGGACTGTAGGGATAGGTCAAGGGGTGATGGTTTCTAACTGAAACAGGGGAAGTTCAGGTTGGAGATAAAGATGTTCTTCCCTGTGAGGGTGCTGAGGCAGTGGCACAGGGTGTGCAGAGAAGTGGTAAATGTGCCATCCCATCCAAGGCCAGGTTGGATGGGGCTTGGAGAACCTGCTCTAGTGGAAGGTGTTCCTGCCCATGGCAGGGGGTTGGAGCTTTAAGGTCCTTTCCAACCTAAACCATTCTATAATTCCATAGGATGTGAGCTATTCTGGACAGGGGACTTGAGCAGAGGACACCTAACTTTGTTTTGTCAAATACTCCTTAATAGCACTGTCTTTGCAAAATAAGGGTTCAGTCCTTCACAAGTTCATGGTGTGAGGGAGTTTGCTAATATAACTTTACACACTGTTGGTGTTAATAACATTCTTCTGTATGTATGTTCCCCAAATGGGATCTGGTTCTGTTCCACTTAACTTAGCACTAGGTATTTTGGTTTTCCTTACTCTTGCTTATTAGGTCTCAGCAACTGACACACAAATAGGGCACAGTTAATACCTCCTTTGTGGCAGTGTGTTGTGTGGTCATGACAAAAGGAATCATAATGAATAAGTAAATAGGAAGTGAATGCTAACAGTGATAATAATATCATCTATGTGGTGAAATCTAACAACTAATGTGCACACCCAAAGCAGGCAGTTTTGTTTCCATGCACAAAGTGCAGCTAATCTTTCAGGAAATAAGAAGTGTGGTTGAATGGGGGGATAGCTACATGATTACATGCGGTTTATGCCGGGAGGCAATGCTGAATATAGTCAAAGCATGTTGCTTTACTGTGACCTCTATTTTTGAACATCATTTTCACTTGTGAGTTAATGCCATTTTCAAAATTGAGTTTTGATCTTCTGGGTAGATTGTGTTTAGAATCCAAGATTCTGAAGCACCTACCACTGTGCAGTGATTGAAAGCAGTATGATACAGAGAGCTTTTAAGGTACATAAGAAGTATCAGCCAAGTGAAGAGTGCTTTTCTATTTGCTTTCTTACAATCTGTTCGTGCTTGGAATTCTTTTTTCTTCATTAAACAATAAAGCTACAAGAAACAAGGAGAGCAGAACACTCTGCTTAATGTATTTTGGCATTATTCTGTGCAGTAATCCTTGCTTTTAATGTTGAATTTAAACAAGTTATTAATAACTTTCCCTTACCCAGCTAGATGTGAGCTCTCTGTGTTTAAGATCTACTCTTTATGTTCAAGATCTCCTCTCTGTGCATAAGAGAGCTGTTGCTGAGTGCTAGTATGTATATTGCAGACCAGGTTATTCAACAGTGTGTGAACTGGAGGACAAAGATCAAAAACCAGTGGAGGTATTGGTGTCCATTCTAATCTTTGAGAATCTTGTGTACTATTCAGGTGAGGTACTTTTGACAGTGGGAGCCTTAGGTCCATGTTCCTTTTGAAGTTTCTAGTCCATAGAGCTATCCACATCTGGAATCTGTAGGATACACTTATTCATGGGAGGGAAGAAGGAATGGTAATACTGGTAAGCCCTGACTATTGATGTGGAGGTAACAACAGAAGGAGTCTCTGCTGACCAGAGAATCACAGAATCCCAGACTGGTTTGGGTTAGAAGGGACCTTAAAGCTCATCCAGTTCCAGCCCCCTGCCACTGGCAGGGACACCTTCCACTAGAGCAGGTTGCTCCAAGCCCCGTCCAACCTGGCCTTGAGCACTGCCAGGGATGGAGCATGGGTTGTAGTGACTGCATAAGGCTGTATCCTGGTGATGAGTGTAGCCTTTCCTTCCTGAGCTTGGAAGTTCATGCTTCAAATCTGGTGTCTGACAAACATTGCCACTTGCTGCCACATTGCTGCTTGTGTTAGAAACCATAGTCTTGTTCTCGTTCCAGTACATTGGCAAAACTTCTGATTAAAAATTAAAAAAGGATGCTAAAGCAGATTTTTTTTTTAGGAGGGAAGTTGAAAATCGATGCTACTGAAACCTGTGAAAGTCTTGTTTATAGATGAAATGCATCCTCTCTGTGTGAAGTCTTCAGGTTCTGATATGAGGGCGTGTTTTACAGAACACTTGCATCAGAAGGATTCAGAGTGACAAGGATTGGAGGATAATACTGTGGGGTTAGAGTGTGTTCCCATATTAATTATGGTATGCTCAGAAAACGGTGCTAAAACTCATTCTGGTGTTAGTTATACCTTAAATAGCTCTCTGCTATTCTAGAACACAATCACAGGACAAAAATGGATCTCTGTTAAACAGTTGGAAGAAACGTTTCTTTCAAAGCTGTAAAAGGCTTGAAGTGGGTTATTTTATGAACATACACATAAGTGCCTGTGATCTATTTAGGCTGTAGACCTAAAAACCCAGGTGGGGGTTGACTTTGTGTGCCTATAAACGTCTGTTTCCTAAATGGCACTTGTGTGCCTGCTAGTGGTGACAGCAGCATCACATTCAATGCTTGACATGTACATCAAGCAGCCTGGGCCTAAAAGTCATAGGAGCATAGAATCAACCAGGTTGGAAAAGCCCTTTATGCTCCTCCAGTCCAACCCTTCCCAGCCCTGCCAAGGCCACCCCTAACCCATGACACTGAGGCCTTGTCTCCACAGGGTGTGAACACTTGCAGGGCCGGTGCCTGCAGCCCTGCCCTGGGCAGCCTGTTCCAATGCCTGAGCACCCTCTGGGGCAGGAATTGTTCCTCAGCTCCATCTAACCCTGCCCTGGTGCAGCTTGAGGCTGGTTCCTCTTGTCCCATCCCTTGTTCCTTGGGAGCAGAGCCCAGCCCCTCCTGGCTCCATCCTCCTCTCAGGCACTTGTAGGGAGCGATCAGGTCCCCCCTGAGACTTCTCTTCTCCACACTGAACCCCCTCAGATCCAAATCAGTAACTTGACCTGGGGATGAATGTGTGCTGTTAACAAGTGCTGTTTTCTGGCTGGTGAGCTGGATTACAGTGCTATACTCTGTCCTGCTGGGAACTACTTGTTACATTTCTCTTTAAGATGCACTAACCATTTCCCCTTTTCTCATTTTAGGGACTATTGGATTTTTTGCCTGCTTCTGGTTTGTAAGTAAGATTTACAGCGTTGTGAAAGTGGACTGAGAAGCTTCAAAGTGTCTTTTGAGCCCATCTCCCTCTGGTAATTTTACCATGTATTGAAAAGCATCCTGTGTAATTACTCTAATTTGTAAATGCTGAAGAGCGGCCTACAGCATCAAATAGAGATTTTTATGGAAGAAAATGGCACCACTGGACCCCTGTTTACATCAGTATACTCATTGAACATGTTAATTCTAAGAATTCAAACAAATGACATCCCAAATTGGAATTAGGACACCCAAAAATTCTGGTTTGAGTGCATTATACAGTGCTCCAGCTGAAATTCCTTGTGATCTGGGTTATCTTTGTTACCTTTTTTGGTTACTCCTTTATATCCCATGAACGCATAGGACTGTCAAGTTAAATCTATGTAAAATGTGAATTTTTTTTTTAACTTAACTATGATTGTACATATTCTCCTGCACCTTCTTTACAAGTAGGTATCTTACAACTGTACATGCATTTAGTGTCATGTAGACTTTATTAAAGGCACCAACACTGGGTTTTGTTCAAATAAAACCGCACAGCTCCGCCTGACCTGGTTCCTTTCATGTTAAACCTTCACTGCTTGGACACAGATCCCATTGGTTTGATCTGTTTATGGTTTTGGAGTTTTATAGGGGTGGTAAGCAGCTTGGCTGTGACTCTGCCTGCACACTGGCAAGCAGAAGGATGGGGAGGTCACTTGGACCCATGCCTGTAGGATGGACAGGGGCTTCTGAAGCTGCTGCTGCCATTCCCTGTGCCTCAGCTGTGCTACCGTCACTTCACCCAGGTACTATTACTTTCAACCAAAGAACGAAAGCCTTTTCCTCCTTTTAGCTCTCCAGTGCACACATCTCATTGTCCTTTATCCTATGAAGGTTGTATGCAGCTTCTTGGGAAGTTTCGCCATGAATTCAGTGGGTTGGGAAATGATTTTGGGTGATTCTTTAAAGGTAAAGCCTTTCTTCCTGCTCTGCAGAGCTTGTGCTGAAATGCTGGATGACATGAGCTGCAGTATCTGAATAGCATCTTCAGTTATAAGCTTGCATTCTTCTCAGGAATGGCGAGGTTTTAGAGGCTCTCCAAAGTCTTGGATTGCCCTTGAAGCTGAGCAGAGTCACTGCAGACGCAGAACTCGCATAGCGGTGGTACTGACCCCACTGGAGATGATGAATAAGGGGATGTTCACTCAGATTAATGGGTGAAATACTCAAAGCTTATTAACTGGCATATGGAAACATTCATTGCTGGAAGCTGCTTTTCCATGGCTAAGCCTGCAATTTAACAAGACCCAAACTGACTCCCTATCTTTTTGTGGGCATACACGTACCAGGTAACTGTAGTTAATGCCAAAATGGAATCTTTGCTATGAGGATTTCCAGTCTCACCTCTATCTGTAGTTGTTCCATCCAGGTTACTTAGTGTAAGACAACATATCACCTGATGAAGCTGGGGTAAAAATGAGGCTTTAGACAGCAAAAAGAACCAAGTGTATGAGGAGGAGCTGGCTGCAATAAAGATGGTTTCAGATAAGCCTCAGGTATGCTCTTGATGGCAGCTTGGCCTCCCAAGTGTTCTCCCCTCCTACCGTCAAAATCTCAGAGGTGGAAAGCTACACTTATGCACAAGCTGATGGCAACTGTCATAGTATCTGCTGGTTCAAGAGCACCAATCGCTCTATTAAAGACCTAATGCTTGTGAAATTTGTGCTGCTCTGTTTAAATAGGTCCTTCCTATTAAATTTGGAAGTTAGGGGGAAATTTTATTGGATAGTTAAAAAATACTAATAATTAAAAAGGATTATTGGCTGAAGCAGCTCTGAAATTCTCCATGTTCAAAGGGAAAGGAATTCATGAGAGAACCTGAAGTTACAATTGCCATAAACTCCCAGCAGAAACCTTTGCCAGGTTAATAAATACACATTTAACAGGAGGTGAAGTAAATAGACTTGTAAAGCTGTAGTTAGGGTGCTTTTACTAGCAGTGAGCTGCAAAGCAGGAACTGGGTTAAGGAAGCTTCTGAAGCTTGACAGTAGTGTGGAGCCAAAGCCATGTAAGTACAATCATTCTCAAACAGGTACCATCAGAGGACTTTGGGAGGTGGGTTGTTCTTTGTCCTTGGTAATGGACCCCAGTCATGCAAATGTGGCATAATTCATCATTCACCAGTCCTTGTGGTGGAGATGAAAATGCTGCAGAGCAATAGGGTGCATCTAAACCAGAAAAAGCCCTAGCCAGGCAGTAGTAGACTACTCCTAGTTTGAAATTGAGTGCAGAATGGGCTGTGATAATGTGGGTTTTTGGTGATCCTCAGTGCTCTTTGGGAGTTTTTAGATGCTGGGTAAAGATCTTGTCCACCCTGTGTTGAACCTGTTTTGAAGGTGAAATGGTCAGTATGGGACATGGGTGTTGTAAGGCAACTGGTGTCTTATCTCTGTATTAGCTTATGAATAATAGGTGTTATAACTGTTACTCATCTACCCCCATTAGAACAACGGGCTCAGTACAGCATTCCCTATGCTTTTGCAGATACTTGAGCCTTTCTGGCCTCTTTAAAAGGGCAAAGACACCAGGCTAAGCTTTGGCTCTGCTGAAGCGTGTGTGTAGGCATCTCCATTGTGTTTTTGTGATGCTCCGGTAATGGGTTCACAGCAGATGAAGTAAAGCATCTCCCGTGTAATAGCATCTCTCTTGTAATAACCACCCAGATCCACACTTTGTACGGCGTCACGTTTGTCACACTTGAAGTAAAACTTGACAAGTTACAACAGAACCTCAAAGGAAGGAGGGATTCCAGGGCTGATGTTTTACATCTCATTCCGCTTGCTTGAACAGCGTTGAACGCATCCAGCCGCGTCTCCATTCCTGAGTGGGAATGCCAGCAACAGGGCTGTGCTGGTAAGGCACTGGGTGCACGATGGAGGTGGGATTCATGCCCACACCTCTGTAAACCTCCTTGAGGACCATAAACGGTGCTGCCTGGGGGGAGCTGGAAACATGGGGCTTATTCATAGTGAGTTGTGATGGAAGGGTGTGTGATGAACAGCAATGAACTTGCCTTTAGTGGCTTGTCTGATGTTCCTTATACCAGTTGTGCTTTTGTGTTTCATAACATATTCCCAGTTCACATTTAATGTTTCCTGAGTCTGCTGTGCCGGTATCTGGGATGCTTGCAGGGATCTGTGACAAAGGCACTGGAGGAAATCTAACTGCTGGGGTACACTTGAGATCTCTTCTGGAACCTGGGGTGAGATCTTTACCAGCAGTCACCACATGCAGATCCAGCTGTGAAAATCACACACAGAAGAAAGAGTATTGGGTGGTTTGCATTGTAAGAACTGGGGCCAAGATAAACGAATGGAAGGAGGCTAGATATGAGGTCATGCTGGTCTGCAGCTGGAAGGGAAGGATGATTCTTAGATACATGATTTCAATGGAGATCTGTCCTCCATTGGCTGTTCAGATGCTCAGTTCCATTCTGTGTCACTGAAGCTAATGGAAACAAAGCAGTGAAGTCACTGCCTCTCGGACCACTCTCGTATTCCTTTGCATTTCCACTTGCCAGCAGGAATGGAGTCACTGCCCAGCAGCTCTGGTGCTTCCATCTGAAGCTGCTGTGCTCTTCACCTGCCACTGTGACCTCTTTAATCCAATTCAACTGAAATCTAAGTGTTAAGGCATGCTGTGCCATGGGACCACATGGCTTTGTGGTGAAGCATTCACCTCCCATCACGGAGCTGTGTCATTTCAGCATTCCTATCTCCATTACATACAAACTGTGTGCAATGGCCATTCATTGTACTTAGAAAAGGCACGTGGGGTGGTGCAGGGCTGCATCAGCTTTGCTTTCCCTTTCTCTTCGTGTCTGAGAACCCCATTTTGCCCTGAACAGAGCTCCTCTTGCCAGGGAAGTGTGAAGGAGAGGGTCTGAGCCTGCTTCCCAGAGCACTGCTGGAGTAATGGAGTCCATCAGGGTGTCCCAGAGGATGCACCAAGTGCCCAAGGGCCTGTGTATGTGAGATCAGACTGGGTTAGCCTCTTCACTAAGGCCAAAGTCATGACTTAACCACAGTGGGATTTGCTTGTGGATAATGGACGTTGTATTGGGAAAGGGCTTCACCCCAGCCTGGGCTTTTCCCTTAGGATAACACCTCCTGGAGATACAGCACATCCTTGTGAGTTCGATTTCTCAGGATGGATTCCTTTCCTGTTCTATTGAGATGCTGCAAGCCTTTGGGTCGGGGTCGCTGTCTATTTTGGTACCCAAAGCAACTACAATTGGGGAGCTCTCAGTGTGGTCCTTCCCCTTCCTGATCAAGCTGCCTCTTACAGGCTGCACACACTGCTTAGCTCTGCTCCTACAGACTGGAAGCCCTTGGCCTGTCGGTGAAGTTATTAGCACTGGGATGTTTGCAGCTAACATGGAGCTTACCCAAGGTAATTTATGTTCTAGTTGCAACTCAAGGGAAACTCTTTGATGTTTGACATCATAAACCAGTAAAACCAGAGACTTGTTATAGGGGCAGAGAGCAGGGCCCTGGAGCTGCTGTGTTCAGTGTAAGTGGTTGGGTTAATGGGATGTGCACATGTGCCTCTATTCTCTAGTTCCCTTTCCCTCCTGTGCCTTGACAGGCTCTGCAGTAGATGAAAAGGAGTGAGAGCCTTGGACAAAGTCCTTTGGACTCCATGGGATGAGGACTGCATTGGTACATCCAGAGGATCTTTATCTCCCTTTTGAGTTACTGTTAATAGGAAAGAGACACCTGCACCCGAGCTCTCAAGGGGGCTGGAACTTCTATAACTTGGGGGTGTTGGGTGATGAGAAGCAAACCCAGCAGATGCTGCTTGTGCCTTTACATCCATAGGTCCTCACTTTGTACAGCCTGGCCGTGCACTCAGGGTTAAAGTTAATTCACATTAAGAGTGAATCCATGCGATTGGCAGGGGCCAAGGTGTGGTTTGTCCTGTGGGTGCTTTTCCAGCAAGTTTCCTACTGGTGCCAGCACTGGGCATCTCAGGATGATCCCATCCTGCCTGCTATAGCTTGCTCTTGGTGGGTCTTCCATCTGCCATGGACATGGGTGCATCAAGTAGGTGTTCCCTGGTGCTCCCAGGCAGCAGCAGCAGAGACCCTCTGTGCTCCTCAGTGGTGGTGCTCTGTGAGCACGAAGCGTTACTGATGCTGTGGGGGTCCCGTAATGTTCAAGCAGGGGGAAATGGCTGCAAACAGCTCCTTTGGAGGGTGCATCCACAGGGAAGCTTTGGGTAAGAAGAAGAAAAGGTGCATACTTCAGCTGGAAAAGCTGCCCACCATCCTTTATGCATTGCAGGGATGCTCGCGCTGCAGGAATAAGTCCCATGAGGAATAAGGGAGGCTGAAGCAGAGGTAGAGGAGTAGCAGGTAGAATGGTGTAACATGTGCCGCGGGGGGGGGTGAGCTCCCTCCAGCACCCAAGAGGGGAAACAGGGAGCCAGGTGAACTGGTATTAGTGGTGCAGCTGTGGGTGGTTAAGCAGCAAAGCCCATAAGAACCCTTGACTTTCTGAAGCTCGTTAGGGTGAGGTGTGGAGCTGGAGGAAGGATGTGAGTGCTGGGCTGGTGCTGGAGCTGCTGCTGTTCCCTATCCCTATGGCAGGACCATGTGTGAGTTAAGTGCATCACGGCTATTGAATGTCCTCTCTCTGTATGGGGGGGGGAAATGGGGTGTTTGTGGCTGTAACTGTGGTGGTGTTGCCCTGGGCAGGGGTTTCTTGGTGCTGTGTGGGCATCTGGGAGCTGGCTCCTGAGGCTCCCTTGGAGCAGGGAGTGTCTCTGGGCAGGATAGTGCTGTGCTATAGCGTGTCCCTGCTCAGTGTTCTCCATGGTCACAGCAAGCCTGGGGTCCCCCAGACCAAGGAGATGGCAAATAGATGTTTTCTGGAGCTCAGGGTGCTGTAGGACCTTGAGGATGGAGAGTGGCTTGTTCTTGGGCTTGATAGAGCCCAAATGTCTTTGTGGTGAAGTGCCTGCATTGGGGAATTTAAAGCAGGGAATGCAACTCTATGGGCTTCCCCCATCAGCTGGGGTGTTTCTGGGCCTTGGGTGTAAAAGTAGGAGGATGGCACTTTTCCTGTGGCTGTGATAAGAGAGGGTGCCTGGCCCTCAGAGATGGCAGGACAGGGATGTCCCTGCCATGGGTGGCTGGATGTTGCATTGGGTCGCACAGGAGAGGCCCTCAGGGTGTGTGTTGTGTTTAGCTCCTGTCATGCTGTGGTCTGTGCTATGGCTGCTGGGGATGTGCCTATAGCATGCTTGGGGCTGTTTGCTCTTTGTAGGACCAGCCGTGCTTCCTGGGCCCAATGCAGCCATCCCTTGGGAAATGCATGATGCCTTCCCATGCACTGCATCATTAATTACTTCAAACCACCATTCCCACATGCTATCTGTGATGCTCTTTATGTGCCTATTGGAGATGCCGAGGCTTCAGGGATGCGCTTGGTGTGTATGAAGTCACATCTGATTAGCCAGCTCCTTGGGATCTTGCATGAGGCATATGGGACCAGGCCTCTTCCTCCAGCTCTAAATAAGTCCCAGGTTTCCTCCTGCTCTTTCCCTTGATGTGTTACAGCTGCACTGGGACAGACCTCTCAGCTGAAACAGCCATTGCTGGAGTAAGGAACAAGTACCCATTAGGGTGTTTGCTACTAACTCATCATTGCTTGTCACTGCTCCAAAGTAGAGGGGCTCAGTTGCAATGGAACAGGGTTACTGATGCTGAATAACACCAGTTTACAACTGGTGGTCGCTGTGTAGTGCTGGTCTGCTGGGACATGGGGGCTGAGCCCCTCTTTGGGTCATAGTTTTTCTCTTTATATTCATTTTCCCCCCAAACTCTTGGGGTTTCTTGCTCACCCTGAATGTTCCCAGTTGGTGTAAGTCAGATGGTGTCTCCTTCACAGTCAAACATTGCACTGGAGGAAACATCAAAGAAGTCATTAACAACATTACAAGATCTCCTGTAACTAAATACAGGCTGGAGCTGCCGTCTCCTTTGCTCAGGTTTAATTCAAGAACAGTGGGAAACCGGTAGGGCTCATGGGCTGAATCCTGGAGGAGCAGATGGGATCCAGGCCATGGAGGGCTGGGGTTGGATGTATCCAGGGAAGGGCTGTGAGTGGGGCAGTGCCATGGGAGCAGAGCCCAGGGTGGATGAGAGGACATTTGGACTTCTCTCCTTGCTGCCCCTTTCCAGCACCTGCTGTGCAGGGCACCCAAATCCTGTCTGCACTGTACCCTCCTTAAGCATCTCTCACTGCTCCTCCAAGTATTGATAAAGAGCCAAGGACAGTGCGACTCTACCAAGGCATGAACACAGAATGGTGTGAGTTGGAAGGGACCTTAAGGATCGTCTAGTTCCAGCTAGATGCCAGCAAGCATCACAAGGATGCTAAGACTACTGGACAAGGACCAGTAGTAACTGGAGTGCTTCCCCTCCTCTCCTTTGTTAATGGCCAGAGGGTATTTGGGAACCCTCTACTCAGCCTGTCTCCATTATGCCCCACTCCAGAAGGATGCTGAAGCAGAAGATAAGTGCTAAAGAGAGACCTACAAGGATGCTGGAGATGGGATTTTCATCAGGGACTGTAGAGATAGGACAAGGGGTGATGGGTTCAAACTGAAACAGGGGGGATTTAGGTTGGATATAAGGAAGAAGTTCCCTGTGAGGGTGGTGAGGCCTCAAGCTTGCACCCGCACATCAGTGTGTGGTCCCCAAACCAGCCATTACACTCAATAAGGTGTTTTTAAGTCTTCACTGAATCATTTCCTCAGCTCTAGCAGCAATAGACAGAGGGGGGTTATTCCAGTGTGGTTTACTTTCAATAACCAAGGGGGATGAGAAGACAATTGCTAGCAAAGTACATTGCTCATAGCATCAATAGTCTTTGCTTTAAGGTTTTTCCCCAGTGTCAAAGTTCTGCAGTGGCTGTCATTAGGCACTAAACCTATGACAGGCAGCAGGGAGAGGAGTGTAGCCTTGCAGGAAGCCTAAAATACTGAAATATGAATTATTCACCTCAAAAGTTGACTGTTTCTTGCTGCGGTACCTGGCTAATTGTCATGGTATCAAAGGGATGCGCAACGCTGTAAGCCTCAGCGTTCGGGGTGGTTTGACAGCTAAGCCTTGCTGCAGGAAAGGGATGTAATGTTGCTATTGGCAGCCTGGTTCCCTTTTGAATCCTGAATTATTCCCCTCTTTATTAACTCATGGTGTGTTTTCTGTAAACTCTCAGAGATCAGAACTGATTTCAAGGCTCATCCTCCACCACGTCTCTTGATCGTGTTTCACGGTGGCTGCAACTCATGGGGGTAACCTTGGGTATTCATGACGTGGTCGCCCAGTTCCCCACGGCCGCTAATCTCACTTCTGTACCTTAAACCAACATGAAAATAGCTTTAAAGCAGCGCTGGTTAAAAAGGCAACTTTTGCAGCCAATCTTCAGCTCCAGTCGCTCCTGCTGGGGAAGTCATAATGATGAATTTGTGACATAATTTCTGCGGCAACACGCTGGGATTTCATAAATGGGGCTGGTGATTAGAGAGCAGGATCAGGTGAAGCTGGATTGTGATGGAAAAAGCCCCGATTCAAATGCAAATTGTTCAATAATGGCATAGGGGATACCAGAAATTACTGGCAATTTATTTTATTTGGGTTAAGCTCCTCATTCAGTCTTCTCCAGTTGGAAAGTCACCGTTTTAAAGGATGGGAGAGAAAGAAATGGCTGGAGAACGTCTCTTTTCTCCTCTCCAGAGAATGGAATTGTGCTAATTTAATAATAATTAATCAGTGTCATTAATAACAACGTTCTGTATTCCTACAATCCTTCCCATTCAAGGCTCTCTCTTCAAGTGCTTCACAAACCCTAATTGATTCCATCTTACCGCTCCCTGCAGCAGGACCACATCACTTACCCCTTTGCTTATCACTTATCCCCTTTTTGGGGATGGGGAGGTGTGTGAGCCAGGCAACTGGTTTTAATCAGGTGAAATGGTTTACCCAAGGTCAGATAGGGAGCCGAGGCCAGGACAGAGCTGCATTTCAAAGCTCAGCCTCTACCCAGTTGGGTCTTGGCCATGGGACAGCAGCTATGGTATGGCCATGCAAGTGGTGGCCACCCAGCTGCAGCCTGCAAACAAATCTCAGTTTTCCAGTGTCCATCACGTGCAATCGGGAATAGGACCAAGCCCCATGGGCACGCATTGGTGGTGAAACCAGCAGAATGGGCTTTTTGTTACTTATTCTCACCGAAACTGGGAGCAAGTTGGTTTGTTCTGGGGTTTTTCTTTTCCTCTTCTTGTTCCCCCCCAACCCCCCCATCACCAAGTCGCTTGGAATTTAAAGTGTTTAGCTGAGGATTAAACTAATTGCTTCTGTAAAACGCTGTTCCCACACCGTCTAGTGTACATCTGTTAACTGGGGAGGGATAACTGAACCCGTTGCCAGATGGTCTCTTGGATTTGGGTGGCTGGGAGCCAAGGAGCTGCCAGTTGGCGGTTTGTGGGGTTCTAGCAAAGAAGTCACGCTACGTGCGCATTCCCCTCGGTTACTCTCCTCTGCCTTAATGAAGATGCTGCCTAATGCAATAAAGAAGCCATTAGCCCCCTCCCCGCTCTCCCCCCCTCCCCAAAAGGGGTGAGGTTGTAAGTCTGATTTGTCTGAGTGGAGCTGGCTTTGCCAGGAGCTCAGGTTCTCCGCACGCTATGTGTGCAAAGGCCCTTTCTCAAGTACATGAGTTATTCGGTGCTATGGTTGAAATAGAAAGGTGCAAAAACCTGCTGTTTGGAAGAGGCTTTTCTTGCCTTTCTGGCTAACAACTCAAACTTCATTGCATGGTCTTGATTCTTGAAGGACATCTCCATAATGTCCTTAATGTTTTATGGGTACAAATTGGAGCACAAGAGGTTCCACTTAAACCTGAGAAGAAACTTCTTCTCAGTGAGGGTGACGGAACACTGGAACAGGCTGCCCAGGGGGGTTGTGGAATCTCCTTCTTTGGAGACATTCAAAACCCGCCTGGACACGTTCCTGTGTAACCTTATCTAGGTGTTCCTGCTCCGGCAGGGGGATTGGACTAGATGATCTTTTGAGGCCCCTTCCAATCTCTAACCTACTGTGATACTGTGATACTGTGATAATGCCTATTGGCTCGTCTCACACTATGCCATTGTTGAAAGTTCAACCCCAGGGCTAGATGTTGTGCTTTGTACTGTTAACAGTACCTGTGCTTGGGGGAGGACACAGCCCTGGGATCTGCTGGAAAGGAGGGTTATGTCAGGCTCTGAAGAGATGCTCCATAGTAGGGCAATACAAACACCGTTGACCAAAGCTAAGAACATATTGCCCTGGACTTAGACCAGAGTTGGGATCCTCAGAGATGATGTTCTGCATGGTACTGCTGCTAAGCAACAGCCATGACGCCCAGAACCCAACCTCAGCATGGACCTTGCTCTCTTTCTGGCCATGCAGAGCTAGACAGGGATGGGAATTGCATCTGATGGGTGGAATGGGACAACCACAGCCTTGGCGTGGTTTGGAGTGGGAAGGAGCACCCCATGGTGCAAGTACAGTACAGAGAGCAGCACCAGATCTGGTTTGGACTGTGTTC